TTTGTTCCTACATGTGAAATTTTCAATTAAATAACTTTTTAAAAACATGTCACATGATAAATGAATTGGAAGTCACACTAATGAATAATTTCCCCAGGTTATCAAGAGAGACTATAAATGTAATGTGTGTAAGACTCACTTAGCACAATCACTTATTTCATGACAATCTAGTGTGGATAAGTATTTTGTTAGAGAGGATATTTAAAAAATATCATTAAGCCATTCATTCTAATTTTTAATGATTATTTTTAAGTATTAAAATTTAAGGTAGATTTGAATGAGACAATCTAATGATCACTTAATTTTAGATTCATTGATTAGGATAAACTGCATGTATATTTTCAAGGTACATTTATTATGTCTTTTTAACCATTCTAGAATTCTAGCTCACTGAAATGATACAGTTATTAGAGTTAGTTAATATAAGAAGCACATGACACCAAGAAGAATGTTGTGGCCAAACATACATCCCTAAGAATGTTACTGGTTTCTTATTGATAATTTTGCTATTTATGATCTCACTAGAAAATCCTAATTAGTCCTCCAGAATTTCCCCAAGTATAGAATAAATGAAGGGTTCAAGTATTACTTAGCAAATCTATCCTTCTGTCCAATGGAGTTTCTGCTTTGCATGGGCTATTCTGGACATAAAGAGGAAATAGTTGGGTAGGGGATTTGGAAGTAGAATAATGGTGGAGCTGAGAGGTGGAAATCACAGAATGGAGACTGAAGAGTCCATTCTGGGATTGCTACCTGTCTGTCTTCATTTATCCGGATCCCAAGTAGGCTTGAGAATTAAGGTTTCACTGTATTTTTATTTTACAGATGGTGAAATTTTAGAATACATTAAAATACTCCAGGGATATAATTTCCAGCCTATTGTATCTTTTTTCTAGCGTTCTGACCTTTGATCAAGTATGTTATCTCAGTTGTTTAACAGACATTTCCTTAAGGTTGATATACTTTTCATAGGGAGTATTTTTGTAAAGCCAAAGGACTTGTAAGCAGAATGGTATTGAGCACCCTAAAGACCTCCTTTGGAGAAGGAACTCCAGGAGAAGAACCCAGAAATCAGTCCATTGTGATATTCCCCTATAACTCTCATGGTCTCTCTGTAGGTATAGTTTTGTTTTTTGCAACTAGGTTTGACAGATTAGGGAACTGAGTTAACAATTCTAGCAATAACTTGAAAACTAGTATTGTGTCATTTTGTAAGTTAGGAGGAATGTGATAAGGAAATAAAAATAGATGAAGAATAGGATCCTGCAAGATTTGACTGATGCAAATATGTTCTGTGTGATCTTCTCTAAGTAGTGTCATTTACCAAAAGTAACTGGATAGAAGTACAACTGCCCACATGTCATGGTTCTATGATGTTATTAACTATTTGAAGTGCCTAGACTAAGAATCCAAGTTTTGAAAGCCCTGAGGTCTGAGATATGGTGGCTGGGATGGTTAGATATGGGAATATCATCTTTCATTACAGACTGCTACAGGAAATTGCGTGGGGAAAGAGGGATTCATGAGGTGGGTGAAGGTCCTACATAGGCCAGTGGTTGTCAAACTTGAGCATGCAGTAGAATCATCCAGAGGGCTTGTTAAAATACTGTGTTCTGGGACACATGATGAGAGTTTCTGATTTAGAAGATCTGAGATGGGGCCCAAGAACTGGCATTTTAAAAAGTTCCCTGGTGATGTGGTCTAGGGACTGTAATTTGAGAACCATTGCGCTTAGCCTGGTCTGAGATGATGTGGGTTATTGGAAACAGGTGATCTTAAACAGGACTGTGATAAGTGAGCATGATGATTTAGAAGGAAAAAGGCCAGGATCAAGCACCTATAGAAGTTCATGTTTTAATAATTATTGGATTCAGGAATGTTGTTTGTTAGACATTATTATATTAATACAGATCTTCTAGGGGGTACATTTGAAACTTCCTGTCTTCATTTCCTATCATCCCAGAAAAATCATAGATTAGGAACTCTGCATTCTCAGATTACTTGAGTTTGGAAATATATCTAGTATGCCTGTGGACTGTGCAAAATGGTAGTTAATGGAAGACAACTCAGAGATAGGCCATCATAAAACAGGGGAATCCTAAAATCTAGGTCATAGTTTTGAGCAATCTTTGGAGCACTGTATAGGCTAAGGGCATCTTCCAGTAATTTAGGTGTCTATAATAGAATTAAAAAGCAGAGGGTCGCCCTTTCCAGTTATCACCAAGAGATTTTCCAGAGAGATCCTCTTGGCTTGGCCATGGCAGCTGCCAAGACTGCCAGATAGCCAGGGGGAGTCTTATCTGTTCCTAGAGCTGACCAACCTCCTTCCTTCTTCTAAGGTTTTCACCATGCTGTTCACACAATTCCTACTCATTCTTCAAATGTCTACCTCATTTCAGTCTAGATGAGGCCTCCTCATCCTTTGCTCATAGCAGTTAACTATCTATCATTACAATGGAGATATTTACATGACCAGCTTAACAAACAACTCCTCCACTAGACTGAGGGCAGAGACAGTTTGTTCATGGCTGCATTCCCAATACAGAGCCTGGCACCTCACTGGCATTAAGAACTTGTTGAATGGAAAATGAAAAGTAGCTGTATTTTATGTGGAGCAGAACTTGAAGCTACAGTTTCTTCTTGGTCAAAACATGTTGGCTGAGCTTAGCACCTCCCTATCTTTATCCTCTCCAGACCATCATGTTCATTGCTAGTGGAGGGTGGGGCACAAGTACAGCAAGTTTTGAGAATATGAGTTAAATAATGCCATAACCCCCAGAGGGGTTATTTAGAAGTTCCAGCTTTGAAGATTACTCAGAAGAATGGGCTAGATAGGCCTAAATT